CCGGGGATTTCGCTCCCCCAAACTTTCTCAGCAGTTGGGACGGAGCGCGGTTCCCCACCGAGCATCCAGCATCCCGGAATAGGGTCGGGGTTTTAATAAGGGGGGGGGTTGGGGGCTGGCGCGTCCCCGGGGTCGTGAATCGGTCGCTTCTCGCTCCTTAAATCCTACAAAAAAGTGTTTGGCTCCGGTCCCTCCCGGAGTTGGTGGCGAAGCCGCTCCCCGTTGGTGGGAACGCGCCTTCGCCACCGACTCCTCGGTACGGCCTCGGCGGGAGAACCGGCCCTCCGGTCTCGTCCTTAATTTTAGGGCAGAGTCAATTAACGAGAGCGTATTGCTGGGGTTGCCGTGAGGAGGAGGGGAACGTTACTCGTATGCCCCTTTCGCTGGGGTAAGGGGCGAGCGGGGGGTACGCGAGGCTGGACCTGGGTGATGCTCTGCACGGGACGGATCCGGACACGCTGCCCAGCCTGGAATTGCGATGACCGTAGAGGTGGGAGAGCGCAGACCTGGGTGATGCTTCGGTACCGGGCAAGGTGACCCCCTCCCCAGGCCGCGGCTGGTGCAGGGGGAAGCACTTGCTGGACCTCGGTTGGGTTTTTTTTCCGGCGTCCCGAAGGAGAAGGGTTGGGTGTTCCATTCCCGGCCGGTGTCACCGACAGCAGCGGGGCTCTGCTGCTCCTCGCCACGGCTCCGTGGTCGAGCCGGGGCTTGGGTCGGGGTGGGGGGGACCGAGGCAGTGCCAGCCCGGCAGGAGAGAGGCTCTTTGCAGCATATGGATTCAGGAAAGTAGCTGGTCTTGGCCCCCCTCCAGCCCTCCTTGCCGGCCCTGCCTCTTCGTCTCTGGCACGGCCGTGCTGAGTTGCCTCCTCGCTCCGTTCCTCCGGCACGTCTCTTCCACCGAGCATCCCTCGGGCGGGTGGGCAGCTGCCGTCGTGGGGTGGGTCGGTTACTCCAGCGGCCACATCCCTCCTCAGCTCATCCAGAGGGTCCCACCAGCTCGGTATGGGGACACCCACGTCCCCTCTGCTCCCTGCTGCTTTGCCACTCGTGTGGCTTTGGACTTCTCCGGCCCCGGTGGTCACCCATCTCGGGGGGACTGAGCCGTGGGTTTCCCACCAGGACGGGCACCCCGCTTTCCCCAATCCCCCATCCAGGGGTGATGGCTGCTCCCAGCCTCCAGCCCCGGTTCGGTCCAAGCCTCCGCGGCGCCCTGGATGCTGCGGGGGGAGAGGAGCCCCTTATAAACGGGATCGGACCAGCAGATTGGAGCATCCACTTAAAATACCGGCGGAAAAGGGAACCTCCTCTGGCCCGACGTACGTGCGCTTGACGGCTGCCAAGGGCTGATCTGCGAAGCCGAGGGGAAAATCTGAGCCAAGCGGATTAGGAGGGAAAACTTGGGGCAGGGAACAAACCCCAGCAATAACTGGGAGCTGCTCACGAAGAGCATTAGGAGAGGCTGGGAGCGAGTGGAGTTGAGCCCTTCACTGGTGGCTGGTGGTGGAGGAGAAGTGGAGGCTGGTAATTAATGTCGCGTTGGGGATGGAGTCATTAAGCGCATGTTTCTCCATCAGCGAGGCTTGGGGGTCCATCAGCAAGTTGGGTGTCTCCTGCTGGGAGGCTGAGTTCAGGGGGGGCTTTGCTGGCTGGGGGTGATGGCAAGGAGACCTTCCCAAAGCGGGGAGCCAGGGGGTGGGTGGGGATGGGGTTGGGGGGGCAGCAGCCTGGCTGGTGTGGCCCAGCCCCGGCTTTGAAATAAAACCGGAGACGGCACAGGATATGGTCTTTCAGGTTCGGGGAGAGAAAAAAGCTGAGAACGGGGCTGGGATGGGATTGCCAAAAATCAAGCGAGAGCGGCTGCTCGGGACAGCTGATGGACACAGCCCTGCTCTCGGGGTCCCAGTTTGGCCGGTCAAACCAAGGGCACGGATGCTCCGTGTCTCTGTAAGGTGCCCAGTGTCCCCATGCCGGCTCTCGGGGAGCTCACCGCAGCCCTCGGCCGGCGTCGGAGATGGAAAACCACTGCCGAGGGGCGAGGGAGGTGGGGCAGTGACCAGGGACGATGCGGTGGTGGCACGGGGAGAGCTGGGCTGCTTCCTTGGCCGGGCTCCTCCGGCCAAAGCGGCTTGAACGTGAGCGGGGTGTTATACCTGCCGGCGGAGAGAAGTGGGGAAGAGGCATCGCCAGAGCTGAGCAGGGTCCTGGCAGGAGGATGGACAAGCCGGAACGCTGGAGGGGATGATACGACCGCCCTGTGACACAAGGATGAGCCATTTCTCAAATAACACGTGATTTCCTCGACGTGTGGAGGTGCGAGTATCGGCACGAGCAGGAGCGGGGCAGGAGAATGGAGCATCTTCCAGCAACGAGCCTGCTGGCGGCAGCAAAAAAAACAGCACCTGGGAGGAGACGGGATGCCTCAAATTCAATTTATACAGGAAGAAAATCCCCGGGGGCTGGCCGGGTCTGTGGCGGCGTGGGGAAAGGTGTGGCAAGGACCGACGGGGAGAAGCCGAAAGGAGGGAAGCTGCAGCGATAACTAAAGCCGCCGGTCGCTGGGTGGTTTGCCGGCTGCAAACCCCAAGGGCTGGCGCGTGGTTTGGTCTCTCGCCCGTCGCCTTTCTGCATGATGTGATTAAACCCGTGGAGGAAATTGGGTCAAACCCAGCGAAGGGGCTGTTGGCCTCGTCTGGCTTCGCACCCCGGGGTCGATCGAGCTGCCCCGGGAAAGCCTCTTAGCTGGGGGTGGGGGTTCCCCGGTCGATGCCACCCCCCGCGAAGGGATGGCTCGGAGGAGGTTGTTCTGAGCCTGCCCGGACCTGCAGCCGCCGGGGCTGCATGGGTAGTTCTGCTGCACAGGGTATTTCTGCCGGGACGGAGTATTTCTGCCTGCGCAGAGCCTGCCGTGCCCGGGTGTTTCGCAGCGGGGAGCCCCGCTCGCACTGGGGGGGGTGCAGCCTGCGGGTCCCGGGGAGCAGCAGCAGCAGCAGTGGTTGCAGGTCGGGCAGCGGTTGCAGGCAGCGGGAGGCAGGGCGAGGGGAGGGGGGGGCTGGGGGGGTTCGTTGCGGCACCCGAGCTTGCGTTGAGGCTGGATCCTGTCCTGCTGTGGGGACGTGGGCAGGAGGAGCTGGCGGGGGGGGGACACAGGTTGTGCTGCGTGGTGCGTGGGGGGCTGCATGGCCACCGGCACCCGCCTGGGCAGGGGATGCTGTCGGATGAGCGAGCACGTCCCTATCGTACATGCAAATAACGGGCCAGTTTCAGGCTCCTTCCTGGCTTTAAACACCATTGCGTTTTCCTTTTTAAAAAAAAAAATCATCATAAATCTTTGAGTGATTTTTGGGTAAAACCCCCCCGAGCTATCAGCCAGCCCTCCTGGCTCGGGGTGGGGGGCACACGACACGCAGTCCGGCTGACCCCCGTCTCTCTGGCCTCTCCGCAGGTGTGCTGCTCGCCGCGTGCCACGCGCTGGAGAACACGACGGCGGCCTGGAGCGGTGAGTTTGCCGACGGGGTAGAGCCGGCACGATCCCGGGGGGGTGGTGGAGGGGGGGTCACGGGGCAGCCGCCTTGCCAAACTGCCCGGGAACAGGCAGCAAAGCGCAGGCACAGGTAAACCATCCTCGCCCCGAGCGTGCACCGGATCAGCCGGAGGGATGCTCTCGCATCCCATCCTCCGCCCTGGGGGGATAAGGGGTCCCCAGGTGGGATCCTGACCCCGCAGGTGCTTTATCCCCAAGGGAAAACTGGGAAACAGGCCTCTGCGGTGGGTATTTCTCGTGCACCTTGGGGTTTTTTTGGCGGCGTGGGGGCTGAATCCTGGCACACGGCTGCTCGGTGTGCGGGGAAGTCTGGTCTCGTTAACCGTGCCGCAGGTCCCGCGGGGAAGCTGCCGGTGCCTGACGCCGGCTCGCGGCGGCACCGAGTCGGTCGCGCCCAATAAATCGCCTCATTCATGAAAGTGGCACAATGGACTGCAACAGCCAAGAGCCCTTCGCGTCCCCCGGCACGGCACGGCGCGGGGGCTTTGCCGACGGTGGAGATGTGCCGGCTGCGGGAAGGGCCGTTTGCAGGCAGAGATGGAAAAAAAAAACCAAACCTCCTTTTGGGGCTGGAAAACGGGATGGTTCGACAGCATCGGTTGGGAAGCCCTAAAGGAAACAGTGCTACCGCAGCGCCAGGAGGCTTCGGAGCAAAACCCGGCGGCGGGGCAAGCGTCGGCACCGCTGAGGATGCTGGCAGCCCCTTTCCCGATGGATGCGTGCCCAACCCGGGGTGGGGGCTGGAGGAAAGGGGCTGCTCCGAGGGGCGCAGCGCCGGCTGGGGACAGCTCGGGGACAGGGTCCGTGCAGGCAGCAGGAGCGCGGGGCTGCGGGAGGATGAGACGGCTGCAATGTGGCCGGCAGCTGCGAGCGCGCCGAGGCTTAATGCAAGCCAGGACACCCCGGGAGCCAGCGCTGGATCCGGGGACGCGCTGCCGGCAGCGGGACGGGGAGCAAAGGGACACGCGGCCCCGTGCAGCCCTGCTGACGCCGTCGCTGCCGGTGCTGCAAAAAACAGCGAATTCAGGGGAGCTCGGAGCCCGGGCTGCGGCAGCGGGGATGTGCAAAGCTGTGTTTGGGGCTCGGCTTTGCAGGTTAAAACTCCAAAAAGGGTTATTTTTGTGGGGATGTTCAGGCCAGAGGCAGGAGTCGGGGGAGTCCGGGCTCTCCCAGGGTAAAGCCGTCCCCGGGAAGGGAGGTGTCGGGGTTTTCCTGGTGAGGGTCTGCGCCAAGGCGTGGATTTCGGCGGTGATTCTCACCGCAAAGACCAAATCCCAGCTCCCGGCTCCCCAAGGATGCTGCCACCAGCTCCGACATCTCCAAACTGCCCACCAATGCCTCTCTCCCCACCGCCGGAGACGAGGACATCGGACCACCGCTCCGGCACATCCCCAGCTGAGCCAGCCGCGCTCCGTCTTTCCTCGCTTCGCCTCCTCGAAGACCCGGAAGCATTCGGCAGACGTGGGTTTAATTACCCCGGCCTGTCATAAATTCACGGCAACAGGAACTTGAGGTGGCTTTGAAACGACAGCGATCGGATGTGCTTTATACCCGGGCTAATCCGAAAGCAGGATATTTGTTTTCCGTCTCTGCTGCGGAGGATAATTTAAACCAGCGCGGGATGTAATGGAAAACAGCATCCCCGGCAAAGCCACCGGGGTCCGGGGCTGCAGCCGGCTCCGCCGTTACTTAACTCTCTGCTCCTCCATTTTAAGCTTTAAGCACTTTAGGAAATTCCTCTAGTGCCGGTGAGGCTTATTTTCAGTGCTGGTTTAAGTGGGACCCGTCTGGGCTCCTTTGGGTGGTCCCGGCCGGGATGCGGCTGCTGGACCGCGTCCCACCCGACAACCCCAAAATAAACGCATCCAGCCCTAAACCAGAGCTACCGACCCACCGTCGGCGACGCCTGGGTCGCTGCCGGGCCGGCAAACGCCCAGAAATGCCATTTTCTCCTTGTTTTTCCTCCCAGCTCCGGGCCCGCCGGTGGCAGCAGCGGTGAGGTCCCACTTCAACGACTGTCCCGACTCTCACAGCCAGTTCTGCTTCCACGGCACCTGCCGGTTCCTGGTCCAGGAGGACAAGCCGGCATGTGTGTAAGTGCCGGGAAAAAAAAAAAAAAACCCTCCAGCAATTCAAATCCAAGCAGGTCCTTCGTCTCTCCCGGGGGAATCCGCCAAAAAAGTGGGGAGTGGGGTCGCCCCTGGTTTTGCCGGGCTCCGAGCGGGTGCCCCGGTCCTGGGGCTGATGCTGATGCCCTTCCCGTGTGTGTGTCCCCCCCCACCGGTGCAGGTGCCATTCGGGGTACGTGGGGACGCGGTGCGAGCACGCCGACCTGCTGGCCGTGGTGGCCGCTAACCAGAAGAAGCAGACGATCACCGCCTTGGTGGTGGTTTCGGTGGTGGCCTCGGTGCTGCTCATCGGCGTGTGCGTGCTTATACAGTAAGTACCGGGGCGGGGGTTTCGGCTCTGCCGATTTGGGGCAGGATGCGAGCCGAGGGGGGGGTGTCGAGACCCCCGCAGCCCCTGACCGTCCCCTCCCCGGTCCCTTGCAGCTGCTGTCGGCTGCGGAAGCGGTGCCAGTGGTGCCGGGCACCCGGCGGTGGCCCGGAGAAGCCGGGTGGGCTCCTGAAAGGCGGCACGTCCTGCTGCCACGCCGAGACGGGTAAGGGGGCCGGGGGGCACCGCGGCGGGTCGCCGGCCGCCGGCGTTCCCGGGGTGTAACCGCGCTCCCCGTCCCCTTCCCCGCAGGGGTCTGACGGAGCCGGGGGGGTCCCGCCGCCGCCGCCCCCCACCCAGGAGACCCGCGCCGGGGACCAGCGCAGCATCTCTTCTCTGGTTTTGGTCTTTTATTTTATTTTTGGTTTTCCCCTTTATTTTTTTTTTCTTTATTTCCCCCCCCCTACACACACACGAAGAAAACCGCAAGCAAGCGCCCCGGCAGGAGACGCGCTCGGCAGCACCGTAAGCGTGCCGGCAGCGGCAGAGCGCTGGCAGAGCCGGGCATCGCCCCCGCCGCAGAGCCAAACCCCGGCCGGGCAACGTGGAACTGGGGTTTGTCTTTGGGTTTGGGTTTGTTTTTCCTTTTTCTCAGTTGTTTGTTTTTTTTTTAAACCAGAACCCCCCACTCCTGCAGGATGGGGCTTTATTTTTCTATAGAGACAGAAGCTCTGGTGAACCCTCCGCCTCAGCAGTCGCACAGACCATGCTCACTTTGGGGACAGATACGAGCTTTTTATTAATAATAAAATGAACCATAATCCTAGGAAACCTCCTCAGGCCGGTGCTCTAACCTCCCGGTGCAGCGTTAATCTTTTCCGTAGTCTTTATCATAACCAATCGGAAGCTTTTTTTTTTGTTTTGTTTGGTCTTTTTTTTTTTTTTTTTAAAGTCATGGTTATTCTCATGTCTTCTGTATATGTTGCACTGAAAGTTAATATTTAATGTTTTAATTTATTTTGTGTGGTTAAATTAATTTTGATTTCTATAATATGTTATTGTGATCAGCTGTTCTTTTTTCCCCTAATACCTGGATTATAGTTATTTAAGTGATATAAAGGACACTTTTTCAGAAAACTCGTCTCTTGGGCCTTTTTTGACAGTGTGTGTGTGGGGGGAATATTTGCGAAGGAGTTGCTGGGTCCCGGGAGCGGTTGCAGGGAGGGGGGAGCGTCCTCAGGGCACAGAACTGATACCCCGGTGAGGGGCTCAGCCACATCCCCCCATGTTTCCAGCCCAAACTGTGAAGCGAGGGGGGAGGGAAGGATGGATATTGGGGTTGATTCCGTTCCTGCTGTGCGGGGAGCAGGGTTGGGGGGGGGGTCCAGCCTTGCACCATGCTCAGGACCTCATAGCGGGGGGACACCAGCCCCAGTTGAGGCATGTCCCAGTCCCTGGCTCTGCGTGTCGTTGTCCCCCCCGCCTCAGCCAGCAGCAGCAATTTGGGGGCAAACACTCCCATTTCACAGCAGGCTTTTAGTCCCTTTTTTTTTTTTAATATTTTGCCATTAACAGCAGCGGCAGCCCTTGGGGGCAGTTGGGGGGGCTGCAACCCTCCAGGGCAGCAGCTGGTGACACCTCCCTTGGTGCTGGCCCCCCCTGCCTGCAAACAGACATCCCCAAGGAGCCCGGGGGGGGGGTGCACCCGGGTGCTGTGCCTGGGTGCTGTGCGGAGGTGGGGGGGTCGCGTGTGTGCGCACACCCTTTCCTCTGCACACCCACCACCGGCCCAGCTGGTGAGCAGGTGCCGGAGCGGATACGGCCTCGCCGGGGCTGGGGGGGGCCAGGCAGGCAGCGCCGATGTTCCCCCACCCATGGAGTCACAGGCTTCATCCTGCCCTATGAGCCCCCCCCAACATGGTGTCAGCCCCCCGCAACCCAGCCTGGCCTCAGTGTGCCAGGCTGGGAAATGGGCTAAGGCGGGAGCAGGATAGTGCTGGGGTCGGGGGGGGCACCCGGATTAGTCCGGAGCAAACCGCCGCTGCTGCAAAGCCTGGCCGGATCCTGCCCCGCTCGGGTTATGGGGATGGGGGCAGCCATGGGGCTATTTTGGAAGTGGCCACTGGCCCCCCCAGCCCTGTTAGTTATGAGCTGCTGGTTCTTTGCTGCGGGGGTATAAATGGAGCAGGGTTTTTTGGGGAGGGGGTTGAGCCCAAACCCTGCACAGGTCAGGGCCAGGGGGCACGTCCCTGAGCACCCCAGCAGTGCAGGGAGGTGTTTGCAGGGAGACGATGGGTGCCCTGCATGGGACCCGAAGCATTTTGGGTGGGGAGGCCTGGTGGGGGCTGCACTTGGTTGCATCGTGGTGCAAGCGTTGCAGGGCAGCGCGGGCATCGCATCATAGTGCAGGCACTGCATCCTGGTGCAGGCATTGCATGCCAGTGCGGCCATTGCATCGTGGTGCAAGTGTTGCAGGGCAGCGTGGGCATTGCATCATAGTGTAGGCATCGCATCGTGGTGCAGGCATTGCATCATGGTGTGGGCAGTGCATTCCGGTGCAGGCATTGCATCCCGGTGCGGGCACCGCATCCCGGTGCGGGCATCGCATCGCGGTGCGGGCATTACAGGGCAGCGCAGG